GCTGTCAGGGAACCTTTTTTAAAGCCTACGGCTAAATGAGTGTTAAAGTTATACTCGATTTTTTCACCACATACTCGGGACGAACGAATATGATAGATGGATAAAAAAGTCCGAGGGGAATAGAAAAAAAAAATTGGACAAGGGGGAAATAAAAAATGGTTCTGTCTGAAGAAGATCTATTGATTTTGGTTGTAATGTCATTTGGCTTAAGGAAAAGCAATTTCAAGCTATTTCACCGATAAGTAGGCAAGCAATAAAGGCAGACAATTCATATTTTCTTATTGAAATCGATTTTGTTTGAAATGTATAATATTTTTACATTCTATAATATAACAAACATCTTTCTAATTGAAAAAAACAACTTTTAGGTCAAGTCAAGAAAACTTTGACAATATAAGTCATGCGCGTTTCCTTTTTTTTGCCACCTTTTTCCAGCAACAATCCCAGCTAAATCCCGCCCAGATTTTCTTAGATTTGATTTTCGTTTACCATAAAAGTCAAACGCTGAACGTTGCTGCTTCTCTTGAGTCCCAAAAATTCTGACATCCTCTGGCTTTCAGTTTTCATCGTGCTCGCATTATGAGGAGCTTCTACCTCCTCTTTTTCCGCTGGCTACAATTTGCCATTACGTCGATTTATGCGCTGCTGGGACTGGAGAATGCTTTCCCCCACAGCCCCTGCTAAATAATGCACTTGGGAAATTAATTTTCCAACTCTGGCTCAGCATTGCGAGCACAGAACGTCTTCGGCTGCATTAAGTCATAATTTTCGTGGGAGGAAATTACGGGGAGAATTGATTGAAGTTTTTCCAGTCAGAACAGATTAATACGATTGTGCAATACAAGCTGCTCAATTAGCGGAGGGGCCTTTGAAGAACTGGGATTCCCAGAGTATCTCTACCCTCCAGCTCTCTAGTAATTATGTTGTTTGTGCATGGCTCTCGATAGCTTCTTGAGCAAGGCCGAAAGGCTACAAGTTTCTGCCATTTCCCTACGTGTTTTCCACGTCTCCCAAGGCTGTCTGTTGGCAGGGAGGACCTGGAGGGTGAAATAACGGGAAAGGAGCCCATGTTAACCATCCAAATGAGAGCAGCAAGGCAGCCATGGAGAACCTCCACAATAAACAACAACAGAGGCAGCGACAGTAAAGCAAACATTAAACTGACGAGGGGTAAAAACAGAAAAGCTCTATAGACTATAAAGTACCCCATAAAAATATAAGTTATTGATAACCAAATCAAATTTTATTTATGTAAAAATAGTTTTAGTAATGTTAAAATTTTTTATAGTACAATATTTGCAATATTTCATATTTATATTTGCTGCTTAAGCTCTAACAACTCCAATGTACTCCCTAAGTTCACCATCACTGAGTATTGGCGGTATAAAAACAAAAGCCAAGGCTGGAGCTGTTATGTTTATTATGCCAGGCATGTGAGTTAATTCTTTGAACTGTTGAGGTTGTTCTTGTTACTTAACGTTGGTAGTAGAGCATCCCTTTTCCCCTATTTTTCCCTCCTTGCCTGATCATTATTTTTATTTCAGTCGCGTGCATGTAACACAAAAATGTTTGATAAAGATGTTATTTGATACCACAAGCACACAACCTCGAATAGATAAGGTGCCTGCACGAAAACACAGGGAAAACTAAAGGAAAAGCGGAGAAAAGTTGGGGCAAAGGTGTTTCATACTTAGAAGACAATAATCGAGGGAGGGAAAGTGGGCTTCTACATAAAGTGAAAAATAAGTTGTCGCAGCCAACTGGCAACTAAAACTAGTTACTTAACTATGTGGAACTACATAAATAGCAATTAAGTTTATAGACAAAGGGAGAAGTTTAGCATAAAATGAGCAACTTTAAATATGGAAGAGAAAACGAACTCCTGTAGAAGACAAAAACTTTATGACAACGGTGTAAAATTAATAACAGAAGTAAAATTAAAAGTACCTTTATGTTAATATAAACTTGAAAATATTTCTATAAGCAAAAACAAGAACAATTTATTTAGAATTTTTTAAGTGTCCAATAAAGAGGTATTCCAGCTACAGCTTTAAGAAGACCACTGTATAATCAATTTCCCCTGTATCACCGATGGCATGCCGCGTTCCACTTAGTTATGCCCAAAACCTAATTACAGATACGGTCATAAGACATTACTTCTCATCCACGGAGATTTCCGTTCAAGGAGCTCCAACCCTTAAGGTGGAGTATCCTCGCTAACGACTGCATCATTAACCGAAGTAGGATTTCTCCAGGCAACCAACCAATACAACCGCCCAAAGCCCCCCCAACAACCTTATTATCCGAAAAACCGAGTAGAATTATCGACAGCGAACTCCTTTTTGGATACAGAACCAAAAATTCAACCTAACTGATACATTTAATTTTATTTATAACGCACGCATGGCCAACGAACAAGAAGTCCTGAGTGTTGTATAAGCATAAATATTAATGCACTCAGCAAGGTTCGGGGATAAGGATAAGGATGTCGTGAGCAGTGTTCGGGATACCTGAAAGCAAACTTATTGGCTTATTAAAGTCTAATGCTACACGGGTCTGTGTGTGTTTGTGATAATGGAGCCAAACAACACCTCCTACAGGAAATCAACCATTTAGGCCAGCTACACAGTACAAAAATTTGATCAATGGTATTATTTTTGAATCGAAATTAAAGCGACAAGCAATTTATAAATGTGTGAAGGAATTGTCATATATTTTTTAATAGAGGATTTAAGATAATAAACATAAGTCAGTCTTAAGATATTACATTTTGTATTCGTTTTTTATTTATTAAAAGCCAAATAATTTTTTTCCTGTGCACCCCTTTACCCCTCTAATTGTTTCACCTAACCATTGAAGTCGAGTTCAACGCTGAATATTAATGCCAGAATTTTCTGCTGCCCGCCGCTATTTAATATCAATGCGGATTCCCCACCGGCAGCCTTATAAATATCCCAAAAAAAAGTGAGAAAAGGAAAAACTTTTGCCCGGCAAAGTTAAGCTCATGAAATGGTCAAAACTGTTTAAGCCTTGGCCAATATTGGGCATTAAGTAGGCTTTGATGAACCATACCCATGAATAAGAAAGAAGCTGTCCAAGTTGCTAGCCCTCTCGATTTTATGACGTTCAAAAAATCAAGTCAATAAAGTTTCAAGGATGGTTCACATGCCCCTGCTCTTCGAGAAAAACTTTCCTACTCAATTTTTGCTCCGCCACATTTTTTGTTCCTCTGGTTTTCGGCATTTTTAAAATATTTATGTTATTACGATGTGCTTAAGTTTATGAATTTGCCAAAGTATTTAGTCAATAGCTTAGCCTGGGGAAAACAACAAGAACTTTTCGATCCTGCATATTTTATTATACCTTCCATCGAAGTAAGTGGGCAATATTTATGGGAATAAGGGCTTGAATTTATGTCCAAAGTTTTGGCTGCTTAATGTGCGGACAGTTGAACAAAAGGCTGAACCACATTATGAAATCTTAATAGATGGCCGGCAGAGGAAAACTAGTTTAGCTTTCGATGATAGATGCTGAGATAAATACCTTTCCGTTCCACCTCTGTATTAACATTTAATTAGGTTTTCAGTACAATAAACCTTGGAAATATGTATTTCCAACTCTTAATCGGTTGATATATTACCGTAAATTAATATTTGAATACTAAAGGACAAAAAATTACTCACAAATTAAACGAAATTAATTTGACTGCATAATTCCATCAAAGAAACTTTAACATTTAATGTTATACCTTTTATGCCTGTTATCGAGTTAAAGTCAAATGTCGCTTTGTTATACCGAATATCAAGAGCAATTAAATTGCAGGAGAAGCCATTAGCCTTTGCCATTAACAAATAATATTAATCAGAGCGTACAGAAAATCGAATAATTAAATTTCAATATCGAATTTCAAGAGATGCCAATAATGCATGTAAAACAAACAAATGAATCCAATTCAAAGCGTCCAAGAAACTTGAGTCTGAGATTGAAATTACATTAATTAAATGAACATTTTAATGCTGACACTAACAAACAAATGCGATTGGGAATCGGCCGACTGTAGTTTTCCCCTCCAGCGATTTTCTCCGTGAGCTTTTGGAATTGAAATAATTTAGGGAGGTATATGCTGAGTGCAGCCCTGCATCTGACCATTGTTTTCAAGGCCCCAAACGACCCGGCCCGAAACTCGAGCAGCGGCAATTTCCGCTCCAAATGCTCCACTCGGCAGGGGAAATTATTAAAAGCGAAACCGGGCGCGCTATTATTTTTTGACACTGATAAATTTACGAAGCTGGGCGGAAAATGTGGAGCAGCGAAGACCTTGTAGCACTAACCTCCTCTAGAAAAAGCGAGGACTTCATGGCAAACGGGGAAGTAATATAAATCGGTCCCCGGGGATAAATAACTCTATATTAGTTATGACAGTGTGTGTTTGGCAACTGCATTCGGGTTGTTTTCTCCTATGTCTGGGTGTATGCTTGTGGCTTTTTTAATTGTTAACCAGCATTTCTTTATGGCCAACATAATTATGCAAATTAATTTCATGCAAATATGCAACGCCACAGCCAAAAGCAACTTTGGCCAAAGCACAAACAAAAATTATTAAATTTAGTTTCGCACAGAGTTGGTCTGCTATCTAACCAAATTAGTTCTTGTTTTACGACTGGAAGCAGTAGGTAAATAAAAATATTGGCAATACAATTAGTGCAAATTTAAGTGGAGATCTGTATGTGTCAACAGATAATAATTAGGAAAATGTCAAATCTTAATAATTTTAAATTAAATAAACACCGTATAACTAAAATACAGAAAAAAGAAAGAAAGAAATTCAACTAGACCAATACTAATATACCTACTTTTTTTAACTATAGGCGCAATAGAATAGTAAAATACAAAAATGTTTACTTTTAAATTTGTATAATCTGATCTGAGACTCCTGCTAAAATTATTCTATATAAATAGAACCAAGAAAATTAAACAAAAAATACTTTCTTTCATTTCAGACTCGCAATCCCTCGAAGTCAAATACAACTAATTTTGCAGTCCTTTTCGCTCAAGACAAAGGACAAAAACCCGATTTCGAGGTACGTAAATAAGTCAGAGTGCACTCAAACAATGCATTTGGTCATAAATAAAAATAATAACAAAGACCCACAGACCTCTCTAAGCCCCAGCCACAAAATATGCCAAAGACAAAGCGGAAAGTGCTAAACTTTTCGTGCTGACTGTCACAAGTAGAGGGCAAAAGAAGGGACAGCGAGTTTTGGCGTTTTTAGTTGGTAAAAAATTCAAAACTCTGGCCAAGACTGCTTCGCCCCACCCATTTTTAGCTGAAGGGAAAATGGGCGTATACCCATGTTAAATTCTTCGAGAAAATGTCGCGCATTGTTTGACTTGAACTATGCTGTAAGTTATTTCTTTATTTTAAGTCACGCTCGACATTAAGCAAGTCTTTTTATTTTGCATCCACTGAAGTCACACATATACGCACATTTTCCAAGCGCGACTTTTTTGGAAATTTTTAGGAGTAGCAGGAAACCCTTTCTTTGCGACATGCTTAAGCTCAAGCTTTATGAGGCCACTAAAAAGGGGAAGTGAAAGCACAGGAAGGGGTGCAGTCATATATTAGCGCAGTGTGTGTGTGAATTTTTGTGGGCACTGTAAAAAGAAAGCATTCACTTAAAGATTTTAAAAGATTTTTTTATTAATAGTACCAAATACTTAGGTATATGTTAAATAACGTAAAATACTTGTTCAAGTCTTAAAAAATATGAAATCTAGATATATCTAATTGTAGCATTTTAGTGTTCATCTGTTGTTTCCCATTACTAAAACTCACTTATAACCATCTCAATAAATAATTATTTGTACTTAGCGTATTTTAAGAAACAAAATTATTGTTGTTTAGATATCTAAAAAATATTTTTTAATTTTAAAAAATCATTTAAGGAACCTATACTTCTTTTCTCTTTGTGTATCTGAGAATGTTTGTATTGGCGCGTTTGCTGGTGTTAAGTCAGCTAAAAGCCTTTGGTCCAACCACTTGAATTTTCGGGTGCAGCGTAACTTTTTAGAAACGGATGCAAGCTGAATTACACGAGATAGAAACGAGGGGAGTTCGGAGCTCGGAGGGCGGTCTTCACAAAGCCAGATGACTGTTTGTGGGGTGGCGAGAATTCCAGGGGCTTTCGGGGGTCAGTGAGCCCGAAAAAGTTTTATGCGAGCGCCAAAAGTGCAGTCAACGCACTTAGGACCAAAGTCTAAAAATATGAGTTGCGAATGGGATTGCTAAATGTGCAGAAAGTGGACCAGAGGGGTGCTAGAAACGGGCATCCAAAGCTGAAACTGCGAAAGTTTTCGTTTAAATAAATGTGGCAGCTTAGCCGAAGGCAGCTGGCTGTGGAAATAAATTCTGTAATGAGGCGAAAAGCGGCTGGGAGTTTGTTGAAATTGATTAGAGGCTAACCAGAAATCGTCCTTGAAAATAAAAGGATACCATTTTATATATTCACCATAGACAAACAAAGTGTAATGTCTGTTCTATAAATAAGAACTTTAAAACTTTATTTTCCCTGTTTTAAATATAAGTTTAATTAAAACAACTGTTTTACTTCAAAGCAAATAATTTCACACCTCAGTTCGTGTCAAATATGTTATTAGTTTTTTATTTGTAACATAAATCTTTTTCAAAGCAATCAATAATATTAATTGATTTCACTATTAGATACTAACGCCTAAATACACAATTAACAAGAATGCAATTATATTTGACACACATTTTAATTGCTGAAATGTACTTAAATTAATTTAATTGGAGTTCTTACATTAAAGCCACACAATATCAGGCACTCGCATAATAAATTCCATTTTAGGACCAAACTGAAAACATGTGATTCTATTGTTACAATGTTTATGCTTTTTTGCTGCCATACTGTTGCAATATTTGGTTAACTTTACAGCCTTTGAACAGTACTTTCGTTTGTTTAACACATTTTCTAGTGTTTGCCTCTCGTTCTAACACTCTCTTTCTTTCTCTTTCCAAGTACATTTTGCTGTTTTCTCTGGTAAAATGATTTATTGCGTAAATTTCATTAATTTGCTGCGCTGTCATAAAAACGACAGCAGCGCAGAAAAAAAAGTTGAATAAAATAAATTTGATTTGCTCCTGTATGCATAAGCTTATGAGTATATGAGTGTGTGTGTTCGAGTCGTACGTGTGCGTGTTAAACAAATTTTTATGGGCCACCTACTGGCGATGCACACACTCCAAATGGTATTTATGGCCCGCCGCCAGAGAACTCATTATACATAGGATCCTCTTTGCCCCGAATTGGAATTTTAAAATTCTTGTACATTTAACGCTTTTTTTACATTTTTATTTGCAATGTCAAGAGCACATGTTCAGGATTTTTGGTTAAGACTACGTGTCAAAAATTAAAAATGACACCCACTCGTTTCTAGCCAAGTTTATCAAGTGATATGCTGCTTATTTTGGGCCTGTTGTTCCTGCTCCTGACTCCTCATGCATATAAATCCGTCCCTAATAGATCGTGTCTAATTTATGAGCTACGCGAGCATTACAACAAACGTATTACATCACACTCGTTCCCATCCACATGCGTGATTACGTGGGCTTTCTGGGAATTTAGGCTTTCATTTTTTGGTATACTCTTTCAGAGCGTTTTAAACTAAGTTCTATTATTATTTACATTATTATAATATATTTATTATCATTTTTTATTAATATTTTATTTTTTAACAAAGATTTCCTAAAGTTCAAATCATAATGGAGTCATATTATTTTCCTTTCATAAAATGTTGGAAGAGGACCTTTAATAAAAGTCTGAATAGTTCGTAGAAATGATCTCTAGTATCAAATATTTCTATTAAATAAAATTCTAGTTGCAGGGTATATCAATATCCGTAGTTTCAAATTAACTCCCCTTGCCACTCCTTATATTTTTTTGGTAGCATTCTTCTAATTTACGCTTTGCGTGCTCTCGGCCAAAAACTCTTGGCCCGGCTGGAGCATTTTCCATTAAGTCTGCAGCTGCTTTACTCATAATTCATGCCACCCACACACTTACACACTCACACCCCTCACACCCATACACCCAAGAACGGAGAGACAGTCACAGATTGGGGCATGTTAATTTGTAGGCCAGTGCAGGCGGAAGTCCTTTTTGAGGTCTTTAAACGCAAATGAAAGGCAGGCCGAAGCTTTTACTGCCTGCCATGAACCCATGTATCACTTGTAATGCTGTCTCCCTCTCCTATTTTCCCTCCCCCTCACACTTCCAGTGCGTGTTGCTCTAAATTAGATTTTCATTTGAGTTTGGCGTTGTCCTTTCGGGATTCTCCCCTATTCGTATTTGTATGCTAGTTATCGGACAAAGGACCTCCCACTTAACGACCCAGTTGTAAAACCCTTTTAGAGATATATGTATACCGCAGCAGCGAACGACCAAATCAATGCCAAAATTAATTAATTCAGTCAAGTTGAAGGTGTCATAAACAATGTAATAAAATGAATTATATGTTAAGGGGAAAAATTAAAATTTAGTTTTGATAAAATTCAAATCTATCACTTTGAAATATTTTTCTATAAAGAATGTAATACATAAGTAAATACAAAAATATTTGCTCATTTTAAAACACCTTATGTAATACTAAGACTTATAAGAGAAAGCCAAAACAAGACCCGCATAACGCCCAACTATCTGAAACATTTAACCGTTCTGAAGCTGCAAAACAATGTGAAACAATTAACTCATTACAGGCGCTCATTAAGTGCCACAAGTTGATTAAAGCCTTCAAAACTTTTGCCGAAAAGAATGTTTGAGATGGGATCCCTGCTCCCAAGCAAAAGTCGCCAACAATTTGCTCCCTGGCGGGACTTGTGACAAGTGAAGTGCCTCTCGAAATATGCCCAAGATAAAAATGTTTGCTGGTGTTGGGTGTTTTTTGTTACTTGTTCGGTTTTTCAGTGGTGGCTGTTGCCTGTCGACAAAACTTGGCGATGGCAAACTTCTTAAAAATACTTAAGAAGCGATAAATATCGCAAATATACAAACACACACATACGCACATGAAGGGCGTCCCTTGTGATTCTTGAAAGTTAACTCAAGTTGCCTATTTGTTTCGCTTCATATTTATACCACGCTTTTCGGTCACCCCAATTTATTTATAAGATATGTATATAGATATACCACCACCGAAATCGGTGAAACTTCAGCACCGAAGCCACTTGTTGTTGCCATTTTGTTTGGCCTGTTCTCATTATCTTTTAACGTTATTATTACGTTGCATACTTTCTGGGGAGCTTAGCTGTCATGCCATCCCATTATTTTGGAAGAAATTCCCCGTGCCTTTGCCGCCTGTTTGCTTGATTATTATATTTGTTTTGGCTTTTGTTTTCGTTCCGCCGGCTTTGCTTATTAAAAAGTTGCCATCGATTATGCGAAAAGTTTGACATCAAAATATTAAAAACTGGGGTTGGGAAATGCTGTTGCCTAGCATAAGGCGTTCCAATTTGGCCTGAAATTACTCGAAGGGCCCTGAAAACAACTTCAATCGAATGAGAGATCAGAAATAAAAAACTTTTCCAGCACACGCCTGAAGAGTCAATATACCAAAGGTTGGCTAATTAAGAAAAGGTGTAATATTCCAGTGTTAATTTGACTACAGGTCCATTAATGAATAATGAATTTAAAGAAAATTATTTGGTTATTAAATTAAATTTAAAATACTAATAAATTATTTATATTCTTCGTTTTAATAAATGGAAAAATGACTTAATACTTGTAATATAGCCTTTATATTTTTTTATTGGAAAGGAAAAAAATATAAAAGTAGTCTACATATGAATTGAATTAAATGAATAGCCCTGACTGCAATTGTATTCATGCCCCAATTTTATAAAAAGCCTACTGGATTGATGCCCAAAAATTGTTTTCAAGAGTTTTCCGCTCAGCCTACTTGGGAAAATTCCTTGATAAATAAGTAAATAGCTCCCTTTATAAATTATTTGTACATATTTACAAGCACACACTCCTGCTGATACTCTGGCAAACAATGAAATCAATTTAGAATAGACTTTTCAGCACACATATCGCCTAAGCCTAATCTCATCTCTCACTTTTTGGCTGTCTCTTTGCAGTTATTATAGACAAACAACCGGCGGCGACTAAGCCAAGTCTATTAACAGGGCAAACAAAGTAAGCTGACTCTTCAGAAAGGAACCAGAGAAAGGCACAAGAATGTGAGCAGTGTGCAAAAAAAAAGAAAGATATTCGGAAAGGCTGGCAATGAGAGGGCCAAGACGACAGGGGGCTCGGGCCAGAATCGAAACAGTTAGCTGGCAAATCGGATTGCGAATCAGCCGTATTGACACAAGGAAATCGTTAGCCGGCTTAGCCAGCAAGAGGCCAAATTTAAAATTAAAAATATAGCAAGCCAGTTCGGGGAATCAAAGTGATATGCTAATGCCCGAGTCGCGGCGGAGTGTGGCATGAATATTTCATGAGCAGAGCGATGACAATAAGCCGGCTCCGGGAATAAACGAAGAGCAGTAGAGTGAAACCAGGACGATGACGGAGCTAAGACGAGCTAATGGCCTGCACAAGCAGCACTCCTTGAGGGATCGACAGGTGCATCCCATGCTGCACTCTCTGGCGGATCACGGTTGCAACCTGAGCAGCGGTGGCAACAGTGCGGCCAGCACCACCAGCAGCAGCACGGCCACGGCAACCACGGCACTGGGTGGTGCCCTAAATGGTGGTGCCGCCATCACCTCTCAGCGGAGCGTCGAGTTCGACGAACACGACATCTTCTACGTCTCGCCGTCAAAGCGAAAAGGAGCCACATCAGGTGGGTTGTACCCCAATTAAATAATTACCGAAGTCTCATTAATGTCAATCAGGGCTTTAGGTAGTCTAGGCCCTACTATATTGTTAAGAGCTTGAGTTGGTTGAACAATGTCAGCTCCTTGGTTATTGAGCAAACTATTACAAATTTAATATGGCTTTAATGAGCCAACACTTTGATTGACATAATGATCGGCACTTTGATTGATCGGAACAGTGATTGATCGTCACATGAATGTTGTTACTAAGACTTCCTTTCTTTCAATAAGCCATATCATAGAAACTTTTGTAATTTTTAGTGGTAGGATACATTTTTAAACTATTTATGAACCCAAAATCAGGGGAGTGTAGAGTATAGTTACGACCGAATTGTTTACTTGAATGTCACTCTTTCAAAAATTAATATTTTTAAAAACTTTAAAAGCAGAAAGTTGGCTGAAATCTATTAAGTATATTTCTGTAAAAGTTTAAAGGTAGATTTCCCAAAAATTTTGTCACATTTAAAAGTTGTAGGCTAAGGTAACGAACTGTTAAATACACACTAAACCTCTATTTAAATGGAATTAAGTATACGAGTATGTAAAACTACAACATAATCGTATATTTTATAAAAAAACTAATACACAGAAATCATTTAAGAAAAAATTGAAAAGCTTCAAGACTTATTATTTAAGCCTTTACTTAATAAGAAAGGTTATTATAAATATTTTCTGAAGATAATAAAATATTTATTTTCCTTAACTCAATTGTTGTCTGAGAAATTCGAGTGAAAATCAATGTAATAACATTAATATTTTATATCTCCCTGATAGGTTCTGCGGGTAATGTGGTGACCTTCTCGAATTTTGTAAGTGAACAGCGGCTCACGCCCTCCTCGTCGAATCGCGGATCCCTGAAGCGGAGCAAGGGGCGCTCCAATCAGTCCCTGTGCAGCTGCGATGCCGGCGACGAGGCCCAGCTGGATTTGCAACCGAATGCGGCAAGGCCGCTGTTCGAGTACAGTCTGGAACGAAAGCGTAAGACGCACACCTACTCCTGCGAGCAGAACGCACAGATACTCATGAGACTGGAGCGCGAGCGTAATCGTAAATTATCACTGACTGGCATGGAAACCGGATTGGGAATCGGACTGGGTTTGGGAATGGGTGGAGCAAGTGCGGCGCCAGGAGCTGCTGGAGACCCCCAGGTGAGTGAAATCCCGCCCCACTTTGTGTAATTGTAATTGTAATCATGAGCAGCCAGCGGCACGTACCTCCACCTGATATTCCATCCGAATTTCGGGGTGCCCCTGCAACAGGCAAATGCGATAAGCAAACAGAGCGTGGCACGTAGAAGGTAGATGTTGTAGTCTAAGAACCAACTGACTGACACCTGCCACACCCACGGACTCCTGGGGTTCGGGTTCAGCCTCCAAGCTGATTCCTAATTCCAAGGGGACTGGCTGTGGATTAGGGCACATATGAATTTTGACAGTTGTGGCAAATGCTGCTCGGAAGTACTTCGAATCGATAAAATATTTAGCATGTTGCAAAGTGGATTTCAAAGATTACCTAAAAAGTTAAAATATTCTCAGTTACCAAAAGGTCGCCTTGCAGATTTCTGAACCTAATTTATAAAAGTGGCATTAGCATAAATGAATATTAAATATTTATTTTGAGTTTAGAGAATTTCTTGGTTTTTTTGAGTAGGGGTAATCGAACAACTATCGTAATCAAGTAGGTAGAGGTCTTTACTGTCGGGTAGTTTGAAAAACCCGCCTGATTTATAATCAGTATACGTTCACACTCGCACAGCGTTGATCGCAGTCAATCGATATTCCAGCCGATTTTTAGTTAAAAACGATTTTTCGATATAATCATCATGGCGAGCAAACGTCTTGGCAGCATGGCGTCTTCGGCCAGTGTGATGCAATCGACGGCCTCGATCTCCAGCAAGACCAAGAAATCGAAAAAGGCTAGGTTGCCGACCTTTGACCTTTCGCTAAGCCAAAAGGTGGACATTAAGAAGGCCTTCGATCTGTTCGACACCCAATGCACCGGGTTTATCGAAACCAAGGAGCTTCGCGTGGCCATTCGCGCCTTGGGATTCGAGCCAAAAAAGGAGGAGATCAAACGAATGATGGATGAAATCGATAAGGACAAGACGGGGAGGATTGCCTTTAACGATTTCCTATATCTGATGCGTCAGAAAATGGCCGAAAAGGACTCCAATCAGGACATGATGAAGGCCTTCTCCTTTTTCGATGACGATCGCACTGGGAGCATCTCCTTTGCCAATCTAAAACGCGTTGCCAAGGAACTGGGTGAACAACTTACCGACGAAGAATTACAGGAGATGATCGATGAGGCCGATTTGAATGGCGACGGCGAGGTTAGCAAGGAAGAGTTCCTCAACCTCATCAAGAAAACCAATTTGATATAGTCGACTTTTGTTTAAATTTACCTCCCAATTCCAAAAGGGAAACGACGTTGTTTCTAACCCATATAGATTTACTAATTTCAGGCAGACACTTGAATACTTTTAACACCATCCTGACTCGAACACTCAGCAGAGTATCTTGAAGAAGTTTGGATATGCTTCGGTTAAATAAAGCAACTCACTGCAAATGCACTCTGAAATTTTTCCTTCTTGGAAGCTTCCAATTAACACTTGTCACCCGTTTTTTCCCTTAAATTACATATGGGTGTATGACCTATGCAAAAGTGGAAGACATTCCTCTGGAATTTAGCTTTCCTGTTACATACCCTCTTTTTGGAGAGTTTACTTTTAGTTACAAGAAGTACATTGAATAAGGAGTTGAATAACTCGCAACTTACAAATAAAACAAATTTAGTAATTTATTAAAGTGGAAACTGTCTTGAACTAAATGTATATGAATTAATATTTATCTGAAGGTCGTTCAATACAAATTAAATTGTTAGGAATTTCAGCAATTTACCAATCTTAAAGCGGTTGAATGTATGGAAACCAATGTTTTGTAGATTTTTATATGACAGCACGCAATATATACCTATACCTAATTTGATCAAATCAGGTAGTTTTTTTTAAGCTTAACAATGACAATGAAAAATAATATAAACAATTTTGTAAGTCCCAAAAATTAGCAAACCAATTAAGCATTAGCAAATTTACCAAGCAAATTTTCCCTTAACTAAAAAAAAAAATAAATTAACAAAACCGACTAGGGAGTACCCAACAAATTTTAACATTTTCAACAATTGTTTCGATTAATTATTTAAGTTCAGATAGCGCGGTATCCCAAAGTTCTTCCCATTTTTAAATACACAAAGTTGGTCCTGCCATTTTTTGCCAGTTTTCTGGCACAGGCCCCTGTCATGCATAACAAATCTCTTTGACACATTTGATGTATGCCTTTCCATGGGCCTGCTCCACTTTCGGTTTTCAGTTTTCAGTTGAGTTTGTTGCAGCAAATTGTGGCTGCAATTTGGTGGCATGCGTGGGTGCTCTTCTAACTGCCGGAAGAGCTTTCCCATTTTCCCAGCCTCCTGCATTTTTGTGCCTTATTCACCCTTCAACTCTGTATCTCCGTTCCGCTGTTCAAACGGCAAACATAATTTAGTAGCATCGTTTTTGGGTTTTTATTTACGCTATGCGTTACATTTAGTTGCTAGTCGCCGTAGGGCTTTAAATTTATCAACTTCTAGTTGAAGGATCGGGTGGCACGATTGATGAATGGATTGATATATTACTGACTGGCAGAGTGAATTGGAAATAAATTTATGTGGTTCCCAAAGGTCCAGGCAAAAAATTAATTTTATCCTAAAAATCATTTGGTGTTTACTCAAAGCCTGTAAAATTAAAACAATTCTGCAACTCCAAATTAAATATTTGGAAAATGAAATATTAAAATCTTACATAATTTGCACATGTCCAGGAAATATTAAGTATACGCTCCATAGCACTTTAATATTCACAGCCAAAAACAAACAAATCATAATGTCTGAGCAAAAGCAAAATATATTTTAGGCACCATGACTCCACTTTTCGCAAGCAGTTTTTATTACCAAACATGCCACGTTTACCGCCCTAATAATTGGTAAGTTTTTCTTTTTTGGCCAGCTGGCTTTTAAGGCCAGAATAAAAGCCGAAATGGCCCTTGATAAAGTCGTAAAGTTAAAAGCTCTGATGGATAATTACAAATTGGCAGGGAGAGTTCTCGGACTTCGGGAAAAACTAAAACAAACTTGAGTATTTATAAAAGTTTTTTGCTTATTGCTTTTGCCAAATCGATTAAAGGCGATTGTATTTTCGGTGGAGGGGCGATCCCAGAACAGGGGCAGCCAAAGTTCCAGTAAAATATAACCAACACTCAATTTTACGAACATTTAGCTAAATACCCGAACACAGGGAAAAAGTGAGACAGAGAGACGTTCGTAAAAAAGTTTTTCGCAAACTACAAAACTGCCATAACTCAACATTACGCCCGACACACAATCCCCATCCCTTTCTCCGCTTTCCCATCGCAAAATTGTAGCAAGAAAGTTGAGAGGAGGGTGCAAGCACACACACACACACATAGCTACATAAATGATGGTAAAAAATTGCACAAAATTGCAGCAAAGTAGACGAAAAATTATTATAAAATGTGCATTATGAAATTTAAAACGAGACAAAGACGCAAAGCATAATTCAAAAGAGCACGAAGACGAGAAGCGCGAAAGGGGATCCTGGAAAAATGTCCATGCAAAAAAGTGGCTGGGGAAAAATCCGGGAGAAAAGTCGCGAGGAAAAACTAAGGCGATATATCAAGCCATTTAATGCTTAAAAACGCAACGAGATGCGGTTCACCACAAGTCTTCAAGCCCTTCCCTTTGCCCTCTGCCCTCTTCAACCCCATAAACTCGTCGTCAAATTTGCGGCATAAACGCCAAATAACCATATACTGTGTTGCATGCATTTTTGCGAATTTATTCGCATTATGTATGTCGGTTAGGGTTTAAAATGGCAAACAAGAAAAGGGAAAGCAAAGAGTTTAATTAGAGAGTGATTTGCCATCACAGCAGCTGCAAGCAGCGAGTAAAGAACTCAAGGGAGAAAGTACGAGGGCTTTCGAAAAGTAAATGAATAAGGAACAAAGTTGACAAGAGACATATAAGCCCTGCCAATTATTAAAGACAGAGTAGCAACGTTTTTGCAAAGCGATTAAGGTCACTTTAATGCTTACATGTAAAGAATGTTGGTCACACTTACAGAAATACTGGGATTTAAAGACTCCGTTGTAAAAAGCTCTAAAATAATATTTATTCTGACTCAAGTGACTTAAATCAATTAATCTCACACCAGAAAATGTCCAAGCCAAAAAAATAAAAAGATGGTAAAAAATCAAAAAAGAATACCGTTCACAAATTGGCCCGTCCTAAAATATGCAGCACACGCCACCGCTAAATATTTGCATAAATTATTTGAGCTGTCGCCGGTCGGAGGGGCTAAAGAATAAATAAATTACCAAATGAAAATATGAAAATTTCAATTTCCACTTAAGCAGCGGACAGGATGCGACAGGACACGACACCGCCATTGAAAAGGACAAGACAAAGTAAATAAAAAATAATCAACAAAAAGACAACACAGACAACAATAACGAGCCGAGGGCCGAGGTGAAAGGACTTTCCCTGGGAGTGGGCATAAAGCAATCAAAATTCAAAGGAAATTTTTATTAATGGCAATGCGTTTCGTTTCGCCCAGACGAATAAAAATAATTCTACCAAAAAAAAAAAGAATGAAGGCAAAAAAGATGGGGAAGCAAATCAATGCAAATGTATTTCCCGTAACTGAAATTCAATTTCGAGTCCCTAAGCATCTCCTGTCGATGATTATGAGGATGGCAATGCTGATGATGATGGTGATGCTGACCGTAGCAAATTCAATTAGGGCACTTGGCATGGCCTCGACTCAGGGAAACTTTGGGTGTTTTCGGGGGATAAACCTTTTTACTTGCCCTTTTTCGCACGCTTTTTATGGCCCTCTCCTTCTGTGTGTGTCTGAGTGGGTGTGTGGAAGTCTTTCAGTCTGAACCGGTGTCTATGGCATAATTAAATTTTATGTAGCCAGGGGGTCAAAGGAACGTCTTCAGTCTTCCCCACATCTTCGCCCCCATTTTTGTAAATCTCTGGCTGCTTCTGGGGAATTTTCGCCAAGTAACGTCAAAAGGAGTGCGTGGCATATTTTTCGGAAAGTTTTTACGGTATTGAGAGGCAGCTTTTATATGCTCTTCTCAGAAAAACTTCAAGGCTTGAGCATAGTTGGCAATAAAAAGGATAAAAGCTTTGTCATCAGTGTAAAAATTGAATTTTATTTTTGACTTTTACTACACAAGGGATTAAAATAACATGACTTAAATTTAACAAATAAAGTATTTTTATTAGGAAAGTACTTTTTAATACTTATTTAGGTCATCCGAAAGAGCATCTACCAGTATTGATAGGCTTACAGCAAACTTATTCCCAGTTCAATCCTTTTGGAAGGCACGTTGTGGGGTTACATCCGCCGGAAGCTGCTCATGTCCATATTGATTTAATGCGATTTCCCCTTTGTCAACAGCTTGATACTCACTTCCTTTTCCCCTTTTTCTCATTCCTTGCAGAGTGACACGCCCAGCTTGTCGGATGTGGATGTTATACCGCCTGTGCCGCCGCCGCCGTCGATGAAACGCAACGGCAGCATGCGCAGCATGCGATTGTTGCAACATCTGCAGCAGCAGCAGCAGCAGCAGCAGCACAGCAGCAACAACAATCACTTGTCGCAGCTGTGCAGCAGTGATCTACTGCAGGATTGCACCAAAACGGCACTGGACGAGTGCACTGCCACATTGCTCAAGTGCACCACAACCAGCAATCACAGCAGCAGCATCAGCAACCACTCGAGCAACAACATTACACACAACAACAACAACAACAATCAGGTGAAGCCGGACCTTTGCCAACCGCCCGGCCATGCCCACAATCATAGGCACAAGCTGCCTAACAATGCCACGCCCTCAAATACCAACCCGCCCCCGCCTCCATTTGCCGCCCACGAGGAGGACGAGATATTCTCGCCGCACTCGAAGAAATCGGACCCCAGCCTGTGCTACCTGCCAGGCGGCAATGGTAATGCATCCTCGAAATACAATACCATTGGGCCGAGCAGCGATTATGCCCGACATTTGGCCCACTACAGTCGCTACCTGCAGAAGCAGCACCACCAACAACAAATGGCGCACTTTCAACAGCAGCGATGTCGCTGCTTCTCCCAGTCGCTGTTGAGTTTCCCCCAACCGAAGCAGGAGTTGCAGTTGCAGCAGCAGCAACATTCGAACCCACAGCAACACCAAACCCCAGAGCAACACCAGAAGGTGGGCCAGGCAACCTCCCAGCAACCGGCAATCTTTCACACCAGCAGCATGGACTGGACGCTGCCAATTAATAGTCGCAGCTTTGGCAATTTGGTGAACATCGATGGGCCCGGTGGCGGTATTGGTACCGGTGGTTGCCGTGTGCCGTACCAGAAAATGCCGGGGAGCTCAGTTGGTCCAGGTGGTCCGATGGCCGCCTCATCCACATTCACCCTAACCTCCTTTGACAGCGATATCGGACATGGCCTCAAAGAACGCGAGTCGCAGACATCGCTCCACCATCCACACACGCATCCGCATCCGCACACCCACTCGCATCCGCATCCGCATCATTATCACGCCCATGTGGGTGGTGCAGCGGTGGGCGGTGGGGTTGTGGGTGGATCAAATTCGGCCACGCCACAGAAACACCACCAGCTCCACTCGAGCGTCACGAGCATCATGCCATGGAAGCACCGCCAGTGTCCCAGCAGGGGATCCTCCAGCTCCGGCACGAATTCGTTCCGTAAGTACAGGGGATTGCGGATTGGGTTGTTTTCGCAGGGATTACTCTACGGGTTGGGGACGGAAGGGCTCGTTATATTTTTAGGTGAGCTTTACAAGCTGGGGACAAAAGCTGTAAGTCCGATTACTTCTATGCTTGTTTTTAGGGAAATATCTACCTCATTTTTAAGCGGATTTGAAAAAAAGAGTTTCTGCTGCTATTCATTAGTGAATAAATGACAGAGATATGTTCATATTTATAAATATACCCATTTATTTATACCCATGTTGTTTATTCAAGTAAGCCGCGAAATATTCACAAAATGAATTAGGTATATGAGGGATCCATTAAAATAAATGTAAAATAAATAATAACCAGACGTTGGATTTTATGTGGAATCGCTTATTTTTAATACGATTTTCATTCACTTTTGATTGGCTACAAATGATTATTTTAAAGAGCGGATACAAATAGCGAAATTACATCAAGTCCGATATTTCATAATATCTTAGATGTCGTATTCGGAATGTTTGTTATACTTACTTTACTTTTTTTAAGAACTAGGGATTGCTAAAAACGGATATAAACCGAAATCACATTAAATCCGTTGTTTTATAAGTATTTAGAGGTCATGTTAGGAATGTTTATTATACATACATACTTCCCTTTTGAATTTTATTTTACTTCCGTTTTTCATCTATAAATTATAAAAAATAATGAGGCGCACAAATTACACAAACTCCTTATGTTTTACAATACTTTTAAGCATAGCCAGTCGTCAAAATTGGAATGCCAAAATGGCCTCATCGGTTTACGGATAGTCAATTCCAAAACCCATTTAAGACGGAATTTTATGACGTTTCGCCGTCTCTTTCGAATTGGATGCATCGGTATTTGCCTGGTAGTTCTGCCAGACGTTGTACATGACATTGCACTTAATATTCCGCTACCCGTTCGCTGCTGCTCTGCTGCTGCCACGCCCCCAGGGGGGCATTGCCATTTAGTCGTTAGCCGTTTGATTGCGCTTCATGTAACATGGCTGCTAAATGTTAAACGTTGCCAATGCCCGCGTGACTTTGGTCTCATCATCATCAGCATCAGCAGAAACATCGGCAACGTTGTCATCCTCATCTCCATCCTCATCGCCGACACCATCACCATCACCATCATCATCATCATCAGTCTCCAGCTCATTCCCATCCTCGTCATGTCTCCTGGCAACTGCAATTCGTTAGCAGTCAAAAACTGCGTAGCTGCGGACCATGTCCTGTCCCCTTAAATTTATGCAAATCGCTGGTGCGGCCGCTGAAACTGGACTCGTTACACTTAGGGAAAAGTAGACGCTCTACCTGTTACAGGATCATACAGCCCGATTAGGCGTTTTATAATCATACATATATTTTCAATGTTTAGCTTTGAAATGTTTTTATTAGTACTTAATATTAAGAGAAATCATGAAATCCTTGACACCTAATTAAATTATTATTTATCCATTTGCATCCTAGCGCTACACATAAATTCAAAAGACCAAAATTGGTTTATTGGGTAATTTTCAATATTTTTATATCAATGATTTTTTTTATTTTAGTAAAAAATGTCTCAAATCTTTGCTCATAAGATTTTTGACAGTTAGGTATTCTTTGTCTAACCTAAGAATGAGGATTATTTTGAGATTGGGACCTCTATATCACACAACATTTTTTTTCTTTTAATTTGTATTTTTCAAACTACTCATAATTTAGTTTCGGTTATTATTATTAAACATAATGTTGCTTTAAAAATTATTAAATAGAATCAGAAGCGGTTTTCTTATTTATTTATTTATTTATTTAAGTTAACATTTTCCCCCAGTGCACACATTTCTAGTTCATGTAGCATCGCACCTCATCCCTCGATTCTTGTTAGGTTGCACATCCTTTCATTGGCCACTTGCTTATCGGTAATTCACTTTGGAGTCGCCCAAGTGCCGGCCACTGTAATCAAATGGATACATTGCAGTCATCGCTCTTTCTGCTGGCTGAGTCCAGACCAGCATTCGAACCCAAATCTAAAGAGCATCAGCTAGTTTTTCGCCTCACTTGGCTTATTTGCTTAGCTTCAGCGTCAGTTACCCATCTATGTACATTGTACACTTGTCTTTACCAATCGGATTTAGTTGTATAATCAAATTTGGCTTACAATTACAAATTACCAGTCGCCATTGATAGTCGGCATAAGTGAAATCGTATAATGAGATTTGCATTTCCATTGAAGAGCTTTGCATTAGTTTCATGTGGCTAAGATTTTCATTTGAGGAGTGCGGGGGATACATAGTCCTCTTCTAAGTCTGCAATAATTGGTAACAATAGGAACTTAGAGAAGCAACAATCGAAGGCATATTGTAGTTACGCTTCAGTACATCCCAGGGATTCATGTTAATTCTAAGACCTTAAATGTCGGAAATTCAGAAATTACTACAGTAGTGTTAAAGGTATAGTAATTGATAAATGTATCAAGGGACTAACTAGGAAACTCTGTTATTAATTTGACTTTTAATGAGTCATGGGGATTATCTGTAACTCAAATAACAACGATAATTAATGTGGTATATTGTCTCGATAAGATAGATAGATATTTGCATTCGTGTTTATAACTCAATAGTAAAATTTAATTGAAGTCAACCAATCTTACTTTCCGCCTATAAATTGCATCACTTGTATTTGAAAGTGCAGTTCCAAATCCAACTTACAAAAGATTCCCCGGGCAAGATGAACGTTTCATGAATCACAAAATCGGAATCCTCCTTGTGAGCTAATTTCAGCACATATCCAACAAGTTGTTCTGCTCGAACGAACTCGATTTACTTCATTGGGAACTCGAGAAGACGAAAAACCAACTTGAAGATGGTTTTCCTACCCTTTCCATTTCTTTTTTGCAACCAAAAACCAAAAGAAAAACTCAATTTTAAACGTTTAACTAACCATATTTCCTTATTATCGTTTCTTTTTTGCTTCCCCCTGGACTTCCACATCTTGATGCTGACGTGGATGATGCCACTGTGCTTGCCTGCAATGATGCTGCTTCTTTCCTGATTTTCCTGATGCCTTTCTGCCATTGTTGTTGCTGCTGCTGTAATCAATGCCACTGTCACGGCAATTTGCACACACACAAAATGCAACACAACAACGAACAACCCAACAATGAACAATGAACCACCATGTCCATGGTAATGATTATGATGATGACGATGATGATGACAACGATGCTGCAAACGACTTGGCATTGAACTGCCAATAACAACGACAACAATCGATGCGGAACCCTCGGTCATCATGAATGCTGATGACGCCACCATACCTCCAATATCATCTCGTCCTGGCCGTCCTGGAAAATGCTTGCAGGATTCGATGCAGCCAAGCACTGGCTGGCCGTGAGCTCCATCCTCCTGATAATTGGCGCTGCCAGTGTGGCCGTGCCACTGGCGTTACGTGTGGCAGCAAGTGAGTATCGCATCCCATCGCATCGAATCAAACCGATTCGGAACGGGGGAACCCGAGACATCCACAGACCCAATAGACTGAGACATGGACACTCCATAGACAATAAATCAATTACCATAACGCATTTCACACGAGGTCCGGCCCTGGAAGTGAACCTCTGGAGCTAAAGTGTTGCATGAGGCTGTCCTAAGTGGCCTTTAAGTTAGTTAGCAAGTGATTCTGCCTCGTACAGGGAAAGATTGGAATAGCAAAAAGCAACTACTAGGAACCAGTACTATTTTACATAGGGCAAAATATCACAATTAGGAATAGGCATACAAAGTCAAACGTTAGATATAGGGATACAACTATTATAAAAAGAATGAAACAGAAATTATTTTTTTAGAAGAACATTAAAAATAAATAACATTTGGAATTCAAGGCTAATAGATTTCTCCAAAACTGAAGTCATACATTGAATAAATTTAAACCCTCATTACATTTTACATATTCTACAGTCTTATTAGTAAGGATTATTAAAAAAACTTTCAAAAATCATTCAAAAGAAATGAAAAACACACCCCAATTTAGACAATAGATTATGTATTCCAATTATAATCGAGCCAATTTTCAGGTGCACCATTTGAAGAGCGTTTGCGCGTGGCCGTTCAGCTTTTGGATCAAGTGCCTTTAATCGACGGGCATAACGACTTACCCTGGAATATTCGCAAGTTCCTGCACAACAAACTCAACGACTTCAAGTGAGCATCCATTACATAGAAATGCAATTAAAATTTAATGCCAATTTGTGTTATTATCCCCACCCACCGTCCGCAGTTTTGATGAGGATTTGCGCAATGTTATGCCCTGGGGTCGCAGCCATTGGAGTCACACGGATCTCACGCGACTGAAGAAGGGACGCATATCAGCACAGGTAAACCTTAGACCTTAGACGGCCAAGCGCCGCACTTCCTTTCGGGAAACCTTAAGCCGCTCACCAGGAATTATTATAGCACGTAGCTTAAACCTGACAGATTAATACGCTTCAATGGTCGGCATTTTAAGTTTGGTATTTCAGTTTATTTGGGAATTTATGTCGGATGATAAATTAAATTGCGAAAATGTTTGGTAAGGGGTGTAGACGTCTGGTAGCTTTGTCGGTCTGAAAAATATTTAACAGAGCTCATTTAAAAATTAAATAATTTATTTAACTAAATAAATAGAGAAAATAGTTATATACTATTTAAATATAATATCTAATGTTATCGCCATGGTGAATATATATTTTCTTTCACTTAAGACTCTTTAAAAATCTCCAGACACGTTTTTCTTAAAAGGGCATCCTATCTTCTTCCTCCAGTCACACCGAAAAAGAGCTTTTAATATTTTATCTGCTGGAAAGCCGTTGTCCAGGCAACAGGCGACTTTTGCCCTTAGTCAGCGGAATAAGGGAAGAAAAATATTAATTATGAGCCACTCACGGTGCTGAGGAGCAGTTTGCCCCTGAAGCTGCTCCTTCTGCTGCCGATGATGAGGTTCTTAATTATTTTTTGCCAAGCTACCGGCCAGGAGTGGTCGGATATCCACTTGGTGTAGTTATTGATTCGCTTATGGTTCGATTGCAAGCCAGGGAAATTTGTGAGCCCTATTTAAAGTGACACCGAGGGGTGAATGGGGAAATAGACCAAATGATATGGCTCTCAATTAAACTGCTAAAAATGGCTCAACTAATTGGGACTGAACAGGGAATTCCTAATGATTGACGTGGCCAGAGCAACCAAGATTAATGAGGCAAACTGGCCAGAAAATACCGAAAGTAGGAAGCGATTAACCTGGGAAAAGTTCATAAATCAATGGGAAACCGAAAACCACTTGAATATTTGAAATTGTCCAGAGAATTTCCCCCTGCCTTTCGCATTTTTCGTGGCCCGACCGCAAAGACGATTTTTCACGTTCGCCGCCAAAGAGAAAGAGAAATGCGCCAGCGAAAGGTAATGGAGGAAAAGCGAAAGCGGGAATTTCCACCTGCTTAGGCCATAATGAAAATTAACTTTTCCATTGCATTTTACTTTGGCTCCCTCCAGGGCCATAAATTCGGATGCATTCTGTGTTTGTGTTGAGGGCTAACAGGTAATTGCAGTTGGCCAACTACAAGCAAAGTTGGCAGCCGCAAAGTAAAATTATGCAGCACTCAATTTAATTACCCAGTCAAATGGCTCGAAACCTGACTGATGTAATCACAGAAACAGGGAGTGTGTAGTACATTGGTACAGAGATAAAAATTTTAATAATCCATTTCCTTAATTTTTGCAGAAACACATTATTTCCCTAATAAAGACCATTTTGAACAGAAATAATGTAATGTTTTTAATTTAATTTTCACATTCTATGAATAGTAACTCATACAAAATGAATATCAGTGTACACTCTTAGGCCCTCCTGAGGGCTGGCTTTTATGGTGCACTAAACGCGAAGCTTATTAAAACTTAACACTTACAACAGCCGCGATAGGGACTCAATTGCTGGCAGCCCACACACTCCCCATTTTCCTCCTATTTTCCATCTGGGGAAACCCTGCAAGACACACTCACGCTTGTAAGCAAGAGAAAACTTCTTGATTTCTTGTTCGATGTAGGTGGCAAGTTATTGCGGCAATTTCTGGTTTCTCCTGTTGGCTAATTGAACTTGTTGACGCGGCTTCCTTAAAACAACTTTGGCAGACGGCGGTTGTTGTGTGAAAAATATTGTGTAACTTCTAAAGGTGAAGTTAATTGCAAGGCAGGAGATGGAAAATTCCTTTTTGGTGTGCATATAATTGAAACAAAATGTACTAAAAATGACTTATCCCCCATTACTATCATATATACAAAGAACATTTTAAATACTGTGTTCTTTTTTAACCAACAAGAATATTTAGCAGAACCGTAATTCAATCCATTAAATTAATCATTATACCCGTTACTCGTAGAGTAAAAGGGTATACTAGGTTCGTCGGAAAGTATGTAACAGGCAGAAGGAAGCGTTTCCGACCCCATAAAGTATATATATTCTTGATCAGGATCACTAGCCGAGTCGATCTAGCCATGTCCGTCTGTCCGTCTGTCCGGATGAACGCTGAGATCTCGGAAACTATGGGAGCTAGGCTATTGAGATTTGGCGTGCAGATTCCTGAGCTTCCTACGCAGCGCAAGTTTGTTTCAGTAGACTGCCACGCCCACTCTAACGCCCACAAACCGCCCAAAACTGTGGCTCCTACAGTTTTGATGCTAGATAGAAAATTTTAACTGAAATGTAATGTTCTCATCAATACCTATCGATTGAAAAAAGTTTGCCACGCCCACTTTAACGCCCACAAACCGCAAAACCCTGTGACGCCCACAATTTTCATGCTAGATAAAAAATTTCAACTGAAATGTATTGGTCTCGTCAATACCTATCGATTGATCCAAAAAAAAGTTTGCCACGCCCACTTTAACGCCCACAAACCGCAAAACCCTGTGACGCCCACAATTTTCATGCTAGATAAAAAATGTTAACTGAAATGTATTGGTCTCGTCAATACCTATCGATTGATCCAAAAAAATTTTCCACGCCCACTCTAACGCCCATAACGCTTAAATCTGTATACCGCCGGTAGGTGGCGCATTTTAATCTCGCTTTGCTGCTTGCATATCTCCATATAGCTGAGTAACGGGTATCTGATAGTCGAGGTACTCGACTATAGCGTTCTCCCTTGTTTTAAGGATTAACTATTTCTATTCTTATTAAATTCCTATTAATTGACTCATAAATGAGCCCAATCTGAACAGTTTTTTATGGCTTGCTGCCTAATGTGTTGCACAACTGCGATTTGAAAACTTAACCAACACTCGATCCCCGGCAAAACAAACTAACTCAATAAACTCGCTCTCCACTGACTAACAACAACAACTGAAACGAGGAAAACAGCCATAACAACAATCCAACAACGTGGCGACTAACTAGTTGACAACATGTTTCAACAATTGTTGCCCAAAATGCCAAACGTGCAACGAATGCGCCTCCGAAAGCCATAGGGAAAATCCCCCAAAAAATAAAAGAGATATAGGAGAAAAAACCGTTTAATAGACTTGCTGGAAAATCACGTTTAAACCATCAAGTACTCAAAATCTTGTAGGTTGGCAAACAGTGCTCAGCGGCTCAGCTTTTTTTCCTCGGAAAAAACATCTGTGCCCAAGGCGATGCCTTGATGGGAAATAGAGAAGATCAGGCTGAATACATGGAGAAAAAACAGGGGGGAAATGGTTGATTAATTAAGAGATATCAACACCGTTTGATTGAGTTTTAACTTGATAACAAATATATGATACAAAGAATCCCTTTACAGACTCAGAGTAGTTTTAAAAAATAATATGCAATGCACAGATATGAATATAAAATCTAGGCACAACTATTTTAGCATTCTTTGCAGTGTAAAATAAGAGAATACCAAAAACAGGTAGCAACAATGTTGGAACATCATGGGGCCCCCAAAAGTTGGCTACTGTTTTTGGGGCCGGGACTCGGAAACGTCGTGTTACGCTTGTCCGGCTGCATTCTTCCTTTCCTTCTTTCGTCCTTCTTGGTCCTCCGCCTTTACCCACCCACACAAACACACAGATAGGGAGAGAGTCAGCGTAATGGAAAGAGCACACACACACATCGAAACAGTAGCAGAAACAGGACGAAGGACCAAGGCTCGCTTGGGGCGGAAGTGGCCGCAACGAAGAGTCGTCGACGAGGCTGTAATCTGGGCCAGGACATCCAGGACATTCGGGGCATGCATGACATGGAGGACATGCCAACGTTATGCGTGAAAAACTCACTGCTCATGTGTTGTGCTCCTCTGTTTATAGAACTCCTTAAGTAAAGTTATTCGAGTTTTAAATTAGTTTTATTAATTACCAACATTTTCATTTGCAAACTAAAATGTTGAAATAAATTAGAAAATGTTATAAAACAATGTCAGATGTTTTGAGATATGTTCTCAATGTTTTTTCTCTAAATGGTCCTTAAACTAAATTATGCATTAGTACAAACTTAACAACATTTACTAAACAAAAGTCGTAGGTAGATGTTAAAAATATTTCGCTTTTTAAAGAAATTATTTTGTTATAGTCTATTGGAAGTAACTTAAAGCAAGTTAGCTCCTTGCTAAACTATTTAAGGGTATTTAAAACTTCGCTTCCTGCCTTGAATTTCTTTTAATTTCTCTTTTTTTCTTGGTAAACAAGGCTTATCTTGCTGCAACATTGGCCTGCAATTTACATTTACTTTCAGAAAGTATTTAGTACTGTTCAGACTGCCGACTCAAAGGTAGACACGGAAGCAGCCACTGACCCCAGACCAAAAATGGAAAACCCGACTAGAACCGGACCCACGGAGCACTCCACACCATTTTTTGTCTTGCCCGAATGATGGTGGTTTTTCGGGGGATTTGTGTTGCGGGCTTGTTGCATTCTTGTGGGATTGTAAAGGTGTTGGACTTGCGGTTTTTGCTGCTCACCACAAGCTGCCGGGCTTTGGATTCCTTTTCAGCCCCATTTCCCCCGTCCACTTGCCCCTTTTTCCCTGTAATTACTGTATGCATTGCAATGCCGCAAGGCAATCAAATGCAGAGCTCCCCCAGGGCGGAAATAATTTTAAATGCATAACGAACACATTCATGGCATTGTTCTGGGCACAAAAGTGACACCAAAATGCCTCGAGTTCCGGCACTGAAATGTTGATTAAATGCTTTTACAAATATGAATATATTTATTATATTGCCGTGGTAAATTCTAATTAAGAGGCCGGCTAAGTCCTATAAACACAAAGCATACAAATCAATTATTTAGTGCTAGTTTGCAATTGAAATTAAACCTCAACTTAAAGGCCAGGACCTTGAATTTGAATATATATTGGCGCTTTGAGTGTGCTCACATAAATCTGAATGCTCTGGGCAACCTCGGTCCCAGCTGCTGTTGCATTTGTTATTGTGTATTCTGCTGACTTTAATATATGAATGCTCTAACAATAATAGCAACTAGGTTGCACAAGTAACCGCAGAGAGACACACAAATGTGCACGGAGGAAAATTGGCAATGGAATGGTTATGAAATCTATATCATTAATGGGATCTAAACTGCAAAAACAAATCATTTTACAATCCTTTTCATTTTCTGAAGTGTTTATTATTAATTATTGTTAACATTTACTTAATACAAATTACTTTGAAATCAATATCTTTAATATGACCTACACTGCAAAGCTAAATCATTTTATAATTCTTTTCATTTTCTGAAGTGTATATTAAAAATTTTTTCACCATTTACCTAATGCAATATTGAATTGTATAACAAATTCCAGAGGAGGTATGGGAAATTCCTAATTTGAATGCAGTCCTTCAGAAAAAAGATGTTAATGAGATAATCAAAATGAAATCAAAGGGACTTTTTTTTAGGAGTTTTACCATTAACGTTTTATAAAAATATTACATAAAAATCCCGGGCTAATGGCCTAGCCTCTAATATGTCCTTTGAGCTTATTTTTAGACCCAGTTTTTTTTCTGCCTGCATAATCCCACGCACACATACAAACCCATTAGGCAAACACATTCACACGTGCCGCCCATCGACAACAAATCACGCATATAGCCACGGCCACCACAACAACAACATTGTCAGATTCACAATTAACTTGAAGCCAAAATGTTGTCCTTAAGGGAGTTGCTGCTGTTGTTCTTGTTGCTGCCGCCAAACAAGTTTAAATATTAATATGCTTTGTGCCCAGGACGTGGGGGTGAAAATGAGTCTGGGAAATGGGAAAATGGGAAATGAGGGCGGGAGCAAGGACGATGATGAGCCCGATGACGATGGCTTCGAGGACGGCGAAACACCAAAGGCGACGCCATCGAGACGCCGACGACACTTTGGCCACGATGATGACGATAACGATGGCCCTGCTGGGGCGACGAACAGGTGTATTTTGACGTGGGCGTGGGCGTGGCAGTGGGCTAATGGCAAAGTGCCTTGCTTAAACACACTTAAAGGCGCCCCAGAAAGCCAAGTACACAAAGAGGCCACCCCAAGTTCCATTCCAAGCCAAAAGCATCTCGACAAACCCGACAAACAAAGGTACTTGGCCATTGTAAAGTCACATGTATGTGGAATGGGTGCAAGGATGTGGGGTAAAATGGTATAATACAACATTCAACAGGTGCCTCAGGAGTCCCGAACATAAATGAAATATTTTTTCCTTGGGGAGAAAGGAAAGAATGCCAACTTGCATTGAATATGCCAGCAGGCAAATGCTGAATATAGCTGGGAATTGAGGGAAAAACAAAGGGAAATATAGAAAAAACAGGAATAACAACAGCGAATAAAAAGATGACACTGATAAAAAAATCAGCATCAAAAATAATACCTAACCTAATACCTGTAATGCCTATTTTAAATATTTTCTTATATATTATGGAATTTAATAAATTGTTAAGGATACATTCTTCCAGTGAATAAGTTAAAAATATATACAAAACAACCGCAACACCACAATCATCTCCTGAGAAAAGGCGATTTAGAGTGGAAATTTTCGCATTCCCCGCGCTGAACCTGTTGCCTTCAATCAAAAACCCAGACAGACATTTCACACCATTCCACTCCTTAAAATCCGTTTGAATGCCGACCAAAATGTTTTAAGAGGCTTTTGCACTGAAAAAATTAGATAAAACAGGGCCCACAAAAAAGGTGTACTTGCCAACCAAAGAAATTCAAAGTACGCGTGGAAAATAACGCGAACAAAGCGGCGGGAAAAGCGGATGAAAAAATGAGTTTTCACCCCGCTCTTCCGAATCCTTTGTCTGCGGTAATGTCGGGGCATTTTCCTTATCTACCTGGAAATGTTCAACGCGAAGCCACAAAAAAGAAGCATTTAATGCAAATTGCTTTATTTGGGTTTTAATATGGGAAAAGCTGAAAAAAGAGTTCTTATTAAATCGAAAAATGGCGAAAAAGGTGGAAGTTATACATAAATGCATAAATGTGGGATGGCTAGAGCTTAACATAGCATGTTCAGATTAGATAATTATTCAAAAAATAATATCTAAATATTAAATATCTAAGCTCAGATTTTATATAATTTAATTTAAAGGGTGATGAATCTATTCCACATCATGTTAATATACCAATTTTATTTTTTTAAATTTTAGTTACATTTTTTCATTTATTCCAGAAATTGATGTCCTAATACACGCATCATATTTTACCAGATACAGTCAAATTTACCGCATGTTCTCTGAAATCATATTTTGCACAGATTTAAAAATCCAGAACCCAGACACAACCATTAGCATTGTTATCATTCATCCCGGCGCTTCATTAGTTCACCCGGAAAACATAAGCTTAGAAACACCTCGAATTCCGAGACCCAAATCCAGGAGCGCAAATGAACGCAAATGGTAATGAACAGAGTTAGTGCGGCATGGTCCATACAATTAACCCGAATTGAACTAATGCCCTCTGCTCGGACCACCCGATAAGCCCCCCAGTTCCCCAGTTCCCTGATTCCCGGAACCTTACGACCATTTTTGGTGTTTTTCGGGGCCGGTATGCATAAGTGACTCACAGCCCGGCAAAGCTCAACTAAAAATCAACACTGTGGAAATGTGTTTTTGGGAGGATAGGTTTACCCAGGTCCCGGTGGATAAACTTTATGCCTCCGAAACGGAATTTTCAGCTGTCCCTGTTATTGTTCAGTGTTTATTTGGTCGAGAGGGAGTTGGAGAGCAGGTGCTTGGAAATCCACAAATTTCCTCGTCTGTTGTGCAATTAAAATTGCACAAATGCAGAGCCAACAGCCGAGTTGACCCAAGTCCCCCGAGTGCCAGAGCTAAAATCCAATTGCACAACTAACACCGCACAGAGCAGTCCATCTCTGGCCGTAATTGTTTTTCTGTGACTCGTTTATTGAAAAGTTTTACATATTTCATATGCACATCGGCCAACCTGGGGAGCAAACCGAATTTAGCTCCATGAATTACGCCAAACTTTATCATCATCATCATCATCGTCGTTATCATCATGAGGAGCTGCAGATACAGAACAGAAACGGAGCAAATGAACATTTAGAGTGTTGCTTGTTTTGGTTTTAATTTACTGCCTCGGCCCAGAGAAATGGTTTAAAACTACGTGCTTAGCACAGGGAAAAAAGTGAAGGAGAAATAGGGTTTGCTTCCCTGCATCCTTCTTCCGGGTTTCTGGTTCAGGCCTCTCACGAATTTATATTAAAAATTATTTATTACGGCACTTGCTCAGTTTTCGCTTTTGTGCGAGTGTGCGGAGCAAAAAGCCAAAACTTTTTAATTGCTCTTTTTTCCGAATCGCTTTTTGCCACTTTCCAGCTCGTTCCTCATTCTGGTTTCTGTTCCACGGAGACACGTACGTGCTTTTATTTTCCTTTAATGATATAACGTGATGAAACTGTTTTGCTCATTTTTCCCTGTCAGCTCTGCTCCTTTTCGGGCACTCTCTTGAGGAGTTCCTGTTTATGGGAGCTTGTATATCATCCTTCGCAATAATGTGCAATTAACAAAAAACTTTTAGATGCCGGGAAAAAATGACAATAAATCGTTTCGACTCAAAAAGGGGGATGTTGGGGAAAGAGCGGTATATGTTTCTTAAGTTTTATGAACAACTTTCAGTAGGAGTAGATATTGGTACTACAAAAACATTGCATTTCTTAAATAATTATAATCTTGTTTTTATTATGTAAATTTGAAGATATTTTTTATTTTAAGGTAAGATAAAGGATAACACATTTAATATTTATCTTACAAATATAATTTAATAGGTACCTCATAAAAAATAGTTAGGACTCAAGTTTTCTTAAGTTTTATGAACAATCTTCATAAAGAAAATTTACTAGAAATGGAATGGATTTTTAAAAATGTTTCTGAACTTTTATTGTGCTATGTAAATTTTTAGATGGGATAACATCTATAAAAGATATCATACAAATATAAATTAAAAGCTCTTAAAAAAGCTAGGACTGCGTTTTTTTTTTTTCAAACAAATTTTGAAATCTTCTTGAATTATACTTTAATATTCCCATTTTTATTAATTTCAGTTCTGGGCCGCCTATGTCCCCTGTGAGGCGCAGCATCGGGATGCAGTGCAGCTGACTCTGGAGCAGATCGATGTGATTAAACGGCTGACGGATCGGTATTCCCCGCAGCTGACCACCTGCACCTCCGCACAGGGTAAGTTAACCGAAATATCGCACATACGTCGCATGGGCAAGCAGAATTCCTCAAGCCGGCGAGGAACTGAAAGTATTCCAGGAACTACGAAAATGCCAGCCATCCTGGAATTCGACTGTTTCTGCCCTGTTTTCACTAGGTTTTTCTTCATCTTTTTTTTTTGCGTATGCCGGTTTTCTCCGGAAAACTTTGAAACGCGAGTCTTGGGCGAAAGCAGTTGAAAAGTATCTTGGCCGGCTACCAAAAAGCAGTTTGCCGAGTAGTAGATGGCGGCCCTTGAGGCAGCTTTTTGGTCTGCTGCTTACCGCGTGCCATATTTTTGCACCATTTCCTTTGATACGCTGCTCACTCACCTAGTTCCCAGGCGGAGAGGCCTCGTTTAGGCGAAAGGAAAACAGTTCATATTTCTTTGTGTGAGGGGGAGTTGTGGTGGGGGTCAAAGAGAAAGGGCGTGGCAGTCGCAGCTTACACTTGCCAAATAGCAAACAAACCGAGCACTCAGAAAAATCTTCAGATACCCAATTTTGAGAAGTTTCAATCAACTGGATCTATAAAATATATCCTATAATTATCCTATAGTTATCCTATAAATTTAGGGAAATTAAAATCGACTGTAACCATAAAATATCCTATTGAAAAATATCCTATTATAAACCAAGTGTATCTACAAAATATCTCGATATTAAATTTATGGGAAATTGAAATCGACTGTGACCTAAAAAGATCTTATTATAAATTACCTTATTATACATCATAGTATCTCGTTATTAAATTTATGGGAAATTAAAATCGACTGTAACGATAAGATATAGTATTGTAAAATACCTTATTTTAATCAAGTGTATCTACAAAATATCTTGTTATAAAATTTATGAAAAATTAAAATCGACTGTAACCATTAAATATCTTATTATAAAATGTATTTCTTTCCGGAGATATTTCTTTGATCGAATTAAATAAAGCCCTGACTGTTACTATTCATTTTATAAATTTATCTTACGATAATTTGGTACAATAAAATCAGTTGTTTACCTTTGTACTATTTAAAAATTTCTTTAAAAATGTTTTCTGTTTCGGATATTAATATCCTAATAATTTCTTAAACTGTATATTTTTATTTATGTTTTTTCTTTACTCAACTTTACATTTTATTGAAGTGTACGAAAACAGCAGAGAGCGCAGTTGAAAGCAACAGAGCAGCACTGCAAGTACATAGCAACTTTTGACTTATGCTCCGACTCCCCGGCCAGCATTTGAGTTTCCTTGTTGGTTTTCCGTTTTGCATTTTGATTTGCACTCACTCGGTTCTTCGGGTCTTGGCAATATTTTAGTGCTGCAGCTGAGACTGCAGCTGTACACACACACAATCGGAAAATGGATGAGGAAAAAATGTGGGAAAAACCAACAAATCGCTTCCGGCATTTGCGTTGAAACATTTATGTAGCCGTAAATGGAAATGTCAATAAATCATGACTGAGAAAAATCATCCGCAAAATAACAAGAAATATGAAACAGGAAAACTTTTAGCAAAGAAATATTACTGTTCAATCGCCTGCACTCGATGGTTGAGGAATGGATCAAGGATGTTTTTATTTTTCAGAAGCCCATGCATATTTTTGGCAGGTGAATAGCCAAGGAAAACTGTGAACCGGAGCATATATGGACAGCAATGTGAAAATCAAACGGAAACCGAGCAATTTGCCAATCTTCTTGATGTACCCCATTTTTTCTTTCATCTCTGTCTGTCCGAGTCAGCAAAAACATTTTTCTTTTAATTGATGCGGTATTTTTTTTGTGCTAAGAAAATTGGATTGAGTGAAGCGAGTGAAGTGGCAAATTGAGCAATAGATTTGATTAAAATCGGAGAAAGGATGGGTAGGGAAAATAATGGAAAAAGAAAGACATAATAAAAAATATAAACGGAATTGTTTTGAGCCGCTTGGAAATTGCTATCATATCTGTGTTTATGTAGCAAGTAAATTTTTTAATTTTGAACAACTAGATGATATTCATTGAGATTGAGATTCATTTTAAATCCTTTACAATTTCCTCTGTAGAAAGCCAAACATTTTTTGAGATTTTATTTACCATATTTAAAGAAAATAAATAGCTTGTTGTTTTTTCCATATTGGATTTCATATGGACTCGAAATACGAAATACATAGCCAAATAAAATCCCTTTAAACGCATTAAAGGAAAGGACCATAATTTTTAACCAACTACGATACGCCGATTAATATATGCAAACGGATTTCTACCGGAAAAAAATTCCCAATTACTTGCCGAGCAAATCCCCGCTTCATTTCCATATAATAAAACGAAATCCCACTTTGAGCTGGCTGTAAACAAGCTGCGAATCAAAGGCCCAAACGCAGAAATCAAACCGAAGCCCCGCAGAGCAACAAAAACTGACCTACCTTGGCACACACTGCAAAGTACCAAAATAAAAAGGGAATCAAAATAAACCAACTCGCCTCCACTGCGGCCCTTAGCTTTTTGTGAAATCCCAGCTGCCGCTGCATAAAATAAAACCGAGCATTTTATTTTAACTACTGCAAATAAATTCTGTCGAAATTGTTGTCCGCTCTCGCTCACATGTCGTGTAAATAAAATGCGAATCCAAGTGACTATTGAGCAAGTGCAGCAGGGCGTGCTGTTCCCACTCCCGATGCCCATTCCGATCCCCAGGACTCCAGCACTCCAGGACCTGTCCCTCCTCCATTCGGTTCCCTTCAGGCCCCGTTCTGGAGGAACCACTGCCAAAGTGATTGTAAAAAATGCAAACCTAACGAACCGAAACACAACGCGTCGAGTGACGGGCCACGTCACTCAGTCCGCCCCGGAATGCGAAACCAAATCCAAGTCCAAGTCCGTGTACGAGTGCAAGCTGAAGTCCAGATCAAAACCGGAATGCTGCACTAGAAAAAAATCTATTTAAATCAAATTATAAATGGTATTATAAAGTATTGAAAATTATGAAGTATAGATAGGTATCCTAAGCCAATGAAGTTTACAATTCACAATGAATTTTAACGAATATTTAGGAATTAAATTTCAACATTTATCTTAATATTAAGTGATTGAAAATATAATAATAGTTATTATAATGGCTAACCCACTCTGAAACTTTATTTTATTTATTAACATTTGCTAGTAAAAGGAGTATAATAAATAATCTTTAAATACCTTTTTCGAGCTCTTAAACCATTTTAAATAAATTAACTCAGGTTGCTATTGATATATTTTAACTGGGGTATTGCAACCAAGTTTCTAACAGAAATTTACATTGTTTTAAATAGTTTTAATTTTAATAAAATCACAATTTCCCTTGCTAGTGATTATATTTTGTTAAGTGCACTTAAAGTTTTTTGTACTGGGCTCTGTCTCTTTTCCAACAAAACAAATGAGCGTTGCATAAACACAACAGTCACATAGAAATAACGCTCAGGATATATATATCCCTGTATATCCTTGTTGCGGCGTCCTTCTCGACTGTCACCTGCCAGCAGCCAGCTACTTTACATTTGGTTCCTCTCCCCATGTGCGAATCGTTTTTATTTGCCGTTTTCAATTTTCACCTTCAAAGTGTAAACTTCAATTTACAGAGCTCCAGCACCACAATCCGAACAGCAGGGGCAGCAGCTCGAGAAAGAGATATTGAGAAAATTGCATTCTGCAGCAGAAGAAGAAAGGAAAATAAGAACCGAATGGAGCATTTGGCATCAACTTGGGCACTCTAATGCTTTCTGGATACAATAGGGTATATTCCCTAGAAAGGGCTGGGGAAAAATGAAGAGAAAAACCTTTTTAATTGGGATAGATGCAGGCAAAGTATCACATTTAAAATCAGTAAAAAGTTCTGAGTTCTCTAAGATAATAGTTGCATTTTTAAAAGGAATACAGTTTTTCACAAAAAATCAAGAAAATCCAATAATGAAATTATGAAATCTAAGCTTCAAATATTTTATGTGGATCCTTTAGGGTATCTATATTTCCACAGGCTCCTTTTCCCAGCATTTGTTGTTCCCCTTTTCTGGAGCTGCTGCTGCCATTGCTTTTGGTTTATTGCGTCAAGTGGCATTTGGTTGGGATTTTCATTTTGAAATGTATTGGAGCATTTCCCGTGTGCTCGTGTGTGCAAGCGAGTGCCCACGGTCAGTGCCTCAATTCGCATCCGATACGGGGGCCATCTATTATACATTACGGCCCTGGTCACCAGAAATCGAAAACAGTAGCAGTCACAGTTTCAGTTTCAGTACCGGCAGCATTCCCAGTCACAGACAATTACATGCAGCCCCAAGGAACCGAGTCAAAGTCCTGGCTACAAAATTGAACTTCAGCTCACGTGGCGCATTTTAGTGCCTCTTCGTCCTGAGAAGGATTCGCCAGTATTGGTTTTGGTATTGGCCCTGGTACATTTGTTTATTTGCTCCATATTTTAGGGTTTTACGACGTTTCCGACATCGACCAGGTTCTTGTGGCAGGTATTTCGGTCTTCGCCAACAATACAAAGAGGGGTTAAGGAAAATAGGAGGGAATACTCGAGGAAAAACACACAGAAAAATGGATTTAGCAAGGGCTCCTTGTTTTCATAGACAAATTTGTATTTACATAAGGTTTTCAGTATAGGATCTTATTTTTATTATGCAGTCCACTTGGTAAAGTAACTCTAAATCTAAAGTAAATAAAATTTTACCTCTTAAACTATACTTTTTTTTTCCATTGAAAAAGGTTAAAAGCTTTGTTATTTTTTCTGAAAATAAAGAATAATAATTTCTTTCAGTGCACGCTATAGAAAACAGCATCGAGAACAATTCCCATTTCCTTTCACCTGCCGTTGCCTTTGATTTTGCACAGCTTATTTGCTTATAGCCATGAAAACTTCACCGGTCCTGTGTGTCTTGAGTCCTTTTCCTGCTGCCATTTTCTCTACCCCTGACAAAGGCAAATAACGCCTTTTGGCCTTCGGTATGTGGCCAAATTTATTAACCCGCTTTCCGTTTGCCTTTTCTGTACTTGCGAATGTGGGCGATATTTTCGAAATGTTATCAAAATTGGGCACACAAAATGGTTGATTTGAATAGCTGGGAAACACAAATTTCAGGGTCCAAATGGTAAAGGTGTGGGTAACATGTTGCCCCAATTAGTTGCAGATAAATCGAAAGGGCTGTTTATTGATTGACAAATCCATTAGAATGAAAATGTTTTCCATATCGATCAAAGTCACATTTTCTACTGAAGAAAATCCAATTTCGAAATAACAAGCAACCTGAAGCAATCAATATATGTGTAATAATTATTTTGTACCTAATAAATTGCATGGCCTTTTCAAATGTTTAAAAACAAATATTTCGTTGAGAAAAGCATTTAAAGCCTTTTGAATCCAACCTCTTGGAAGGGTTTAAGTCGATAACCAATACTTTTAAGCCCTTGAAGCTCTTCACAAATTTGCCAGTCAAAATTGTTATTTTAAATCATTAAAACTTGGCCACTGACCATTGAGTCAAGTCTTTGGCAAAACTCCACTTCACGTCACTCCAGAAAATATGTACTTACTGGCACTCAGTGTAAACTTGGCCAACAACTTTGGGCAAACATGGCTCAAGCTTGGCCGACTTAAAACAATGGTAATAAATGAATGAACAGAGAACCAGTATTTTGACAAGTACTCGTTGGCAGCAAAATAAAATGTCAAGAAACAGATCAAAGCTGGCTGGACCAAGACAAGCGTGAATATTGCATGGCCCAGCGAAATGTTTTGTTGGCCAGGGATAACTGACAGTTTGGTGGACTGGAGGGCGGAGGTCTAAGTCCCAGGACCCAGGACCCAGGACCCAGAACTCAGAATCCAGGACCAACCACAGTGCACTGAGTGCTCAATGGGTGCAGCCGAGCAAATGACAGGCCACAGAACAACAAATGTTACTCATGGCCAAAAAAACAATGCCAAACCAAGTTTGAAGTTTAAGTTGCGCCCGACCACAAAACCCCAGAAACATTTCAGCCACACATCTGTTTAGGTTGCAGAAAAGGGAAAATTACAAAGGACTTGAAAATACAAAAGTATTTTTTATTTTCACTTCATTTTCAAGTATGAGTTTATTTGTACGTAATGAATTCAATTATAACTTTAAATAAAAAGCTTAACCCTCAATATATTTTTGGTAGGATTTTGCCTCTTCATAAAAGAGACCTGAAATTATCTCAATTAAAATGGACAAGAGTTACAACAGGAATAGCTTACTGGATTTATTTTAAGGAGTTATGTACACATAGAGACACAAATTAACTTAAATGCCCTTTTAGGTGTCTAAAACACCACAAATAAACTTAGAAGTATAACTAAAAGTACGCAGTGAACAAAGGATCTTTGCCTTCCTGAATCAATTCTTTGTACTTCTAAGTTAAAAATACATACATGTTGCATACTTTTAGACACCCAAACTTACAATAAAAAGTGATTTTAAGACCCAAGTGATTTGTACGGCATCCCCTTATAGGCTTTCATAAAATTGAGTTAGTCACTTAGAAAAACTTAATCAAATATATAATGGCCATAATTTAAAACCTAAATAAATGTTTTAAAAAATTCTTAATAAATCTTATACAAAAGTCCATATTTCCTTAACAACTTTGTTGCATACTTTTGAACACCCAAACTTACATTAAAAAGTGAGTTTAAGACCCGAGTGATTTGTACGGCATCCCCTTATAGGCTTTCATAAAATTGAGTTAGTCACTTAGAAAAGCTTAATCAAATATATAATGGCCATAATTTTAAACCTAAATAAATGTTCTAAAAAATCCTTAATAAATCTTATACAATAGTCCATATTTCCTTAACAATCTTGCTTATCTACATTTATATATTCTAATATTTTTGCAGACATTATCGATGCCCACAAGAATCAGCAATTGTGCTCCCTGACCGGCGTAGAGGGCGGTCACTCCCTGGGCGGATCCTTGGCGGTACTGCGCACCCTGTACGCCATTGGGGTGCGTTATATGACGCTGACCTCAACCTGCCACACCCCTTGGGCGGACTCGAGTTATGCGGACGCGCCGACCTTCAACATGAAACACGGCGGCCTCACCATATTTGGCAAGGTAAGTCCTGCTCCCACTTTCTGCTGTTACAGCTGATTTAATGCTAATTAGTTGAACGGTCCTTGGTCGTTGGTCCTCGTTCCCGGTCCCTGGACCTCAACCGTGGGTTGCTGTCCTTTGAGGAGCTTACATGGGGATTTGGTCGCTGATGAGGCGTCCTTTCCGCTCGTGTCCCTCTTTTTCCTGTCTCTGCCCCTCCACCAACTTCATTGTTCGAGTTACTGGGGTCAACCGCAGTCAACGCTTTGTTGGCTTAGCCATAAACATGTGCAACGGGACAATGGGCGGGGAAAAGATGCACTGAGAAAAATAAATTTAAATAGTTTTCTTAACTATCATGTTAAATAATACTTCCAAAACGCTTTCTAAGTTGTTAAGACTAATCTATCCAGGGATTTTGAACACATGTATGTGTGTGACCCACAGTTTTTTCAAGACAGTTTCAAAAATGTTAGAATATTTTTTCTATATATATATAGTTATTTAAAAAAACCACTTCCTCTTTGAAAATATAATATTTATGTTTTGTTCCAATTATGGTTTTTCAAAACGCGATTTCACATACAATACGACTTCTAGTTAAGAAACACCTTTAAATATTTACATCACAATAATTATAGTATTAGTTAAAATAAGAAAGTTTATATTTTATAAAAAGATATTCTCAGTGTATGAAGGGAACTCGTTCAAAGGTTGAGTGAGGGTAGTTGTGTACTTAAGTGCCCTCGCTGCGTGGGTTTATTGGGAGACTTTGGGGGCCTGGATGGGAGGAAGAAGCTGCTGGCACCTTGTGCCCTCTAATGGCTCAACAGTTCGCAAATTAGGTGCCTACTACAGTTTACAATTACCAAGCGGCTTTGCTGCGGGATTTTCGTGTGACCCGAGCAACCGTGAGGCCGGATCATATATATTAAATTAGGCCAACGGACTCACCCACAGAAGTGATCCGACTCCGATTCCTGTGGCCGGCTTTGAGCCTTAATGGGCCATAAGCGGTGGTGGCTGCTGCAACACTTGAATCTATTATGGATTTCCGCTTAACAGAACCTGAGATTCGGGGCATCGATTTCATGGTTAGATGCTAATTAGAATATGCAAATAAGCTTACTAAATAATGCGCGAAAATGGGAACAGCTGGCGGTGTATTCACGCTTGGTTAAGGAGAATCTCCTAGAAAATCAGTGAACTCTTAAGTGTTGAAATGTGTAGAGAACTTATTATATTTACCAACAAAAATTATAGTTCACTGGAAATAAAATTGATATGATTTTATACATATAAAAACATCTTAAGAACAGTATATATATATATATGGATACAATGCGCGGAACCACGGGGGATATGGGGGAAGGATCCCTATTCACTAGGGTTTACAAGTAAAAACCAAAAAATATGTATAGGGTACTACAAATATAGTATGTAATTTATTACAAATTTTTTATTTCTGCACAACATTTGTTTGTACATCCCCCACAACCAAATCCTGGTCCAAACCCAAATGATTGAAACCTTTTCGAAAATAAAAAAAAAATATATGAATCCATTCTATGATCTCATTAAATTCTAAGAAATTACTCATGCATTTCGAAATCGGTACGCTTATGAATCAGTCCATGAAATACAGCCCGACCCCATTTAATATTTCAAAAAATTTTCCCAATGCATTTTCCAATCAAAAGCCATCTGAACTTGAAATTCCATCTGCGCTTCTGGGCTCTCAATCAGCGTGAGGTCATCAAACTTAATGCTGTCAAGCATCAAGGCCAGATGACAATCAAATTTTAATCAAATTTTGCCTTCTTCAGTCAGTCAGTGCACACAGGCAGCCATTTAAATATATATATCCCTTGCATTTTCGCATTTTTACTTGTGTTTATTTCGAGATGCTCTGCACTCGTGTCGGATTCGCATGTAATTATTTTGAAATTCGAATTTTTCCCGAGCACCTCGAACCCCAATGATGAGGTTCAAACACGATTACAGCGAAATGGCAATTTGTTGGGACTGTTTGTTCTTGATGGCTACTCTTGACGGGCCTCCGCTTCCTCTTTTTCCGTGGGCTAGTGCCAAATGCTATTTACAGTGGTTCGCCGGGACAGACAAAGTGTGCATGCGGAAATAAAATGTGCACAAATGTGCACCCAAACAAACCGAAAGTCTAGCAATAATAACAATGGCAGCGAAAATATCAACAAACCATCACAGCTGGCTGACTGCGAACAGGAAATGTAAATTACTGACGACGGTATATATTCTCGAATTATTTATGCATAAAAATGATATATTTCTGCGTATTTGCTTTCCATTTTCCAAACGACCAGCGCCCTGCCAATTAAATATGGAAAACAAAATGCCAGAAAAAAAACAAGCGTCACTTCCTCATTTAACCTGCGGAATTTTCAATTACACATCTCAAAACAATAGACAACGAACAAAATACGAAAATGAAAAGTGAAAAACTAACTTAGGGCGCAGGCGCCAAGAGAAATGTTCAGCGAGAGTAAGGAAAAGCGGGAAATAGCCAGAGGGAGAGAAAAACTTGCCATGGTGTTGGCAAATGGAAAATTTCAGACCAAGCTGAAATGAGCAGGCAATGGGAAAATCGAAATTTTCATTCATACTATAAGGTGAATTGCACAGTGAGGGAAGTTTGCAAAAATTATTGGGGATGTAATTTATAAATAATATTAGGTCAAATTGAAAAAAAAAAATCTATTCTAGCCTATAAAATTTTATAGTAATGTATTATATTAGAAAATTATCCAATATCTATCCAAAAATTCGGCAGAATTTTAATTTTTAGGTATTACCTTAATTCTACAAGGCCTATTGGAAGTTAAAATAATGTTTAGGAAGCCTGAATTATTCAAAACCTTTCCAAAAGTTAGGGTAATAATATTTATCTTTATTACAAATATAGTCCCATTTAAAAATTATTTCATCTAACAATTTCATATAGGTAAATTAATCTTTAAAAATAAAATTTGAAAATGATGTATTGCCTTAATTCCACAAGGCCTATTTTATTTTATTAAAAATAATTTATAGAAAGTGTAAATAATTCAAAAGTACTACTACTCAAAAGTAGGAGATTTAATAGATTTCTTTATTCCAAATATAGACTCATTTAAAAAATATTAATTTGAGGAATTTTTCATCTAACAATTTTATAAAATCATTTATTCTTTAAAAAAAAAATGGAAAATTATGTATTATATTATAGGGATAATATCGTTAGGGAACGTTTAACCCACGGTGGCCACTTAGCGCTGTCCGCCCGCGCTGTCTAAAAATACCCGCCCCACCGCCGTTGCGCCCATCAAGTGGCGCCAGTCACATGGGCCATGGTGAAAACGGGCTCTCCGCTCGGGATTTTCCCGCTCGGCGGCTCTCTCGCTGCCATTTCCCGCTCTCGCCACGAATTTTCCTCGGTTTGTGTGGTAGGAAAAGGCTAGTTTTCGATGCGAATCGGCTCTTTGGGGCGCCGCGGTTTCAGTCGCCGAACGATTTTCGCCCCAACAACGAGGAGGCAGCTGCTGAAAATCGACTCGTCGCGTTTTTTGTGTGAAGTGAATGGAATCGAAGGAACGAGACGGAGGAAGGAAAAGCAAGAAAATACGAATATACACAAAATATACACGAAATTCTTTTTATAAAGAACCAAACGCGCAACGCAACGCACATAAAGCCACAAAAAGGTGAACAAATTAGCTAACAAATTCGAGTACTAACCCGCCCATCTTTCTGGAATGCAATATGTACTAACCCAAAGAGAAAAAAAAATAAAGAAAAATCGCTGAAAATGCAGAGGCAAGTGGACTAATCGACTACTTCCTCCTCTATACGAATCGAAAAAAAAACACCCAACGACGACAACACTTTCTGGCATCGTGATTTTGATGATGACAACGCAGCAGCTTGTGGGAAAGCCAGAAGCAGCGGAAAACGAGGAAAAATCACCAGCAGCACCAGGAGGAGAAATGACGGCGGCCACGGGTGGCGGTAGTGGGGCGGGTAGTGGTGGTAAGGCTGGAAAACACAGGTCGAGGTCATCCGCCCGATACGACGATGTGGAAAAGCAGCAGCGGAAAAGCCGAGCCATCGTCTCCATACCGAACACCATCAAGCTGAGTATGCTCAACAGCGGATTGCTATCGTTCGAAAGGATAAAGCTGGAGGCGCGCGATGAGAATAACTCCCTGTCGAAGACGATACCCAATGGACCCATAGATATACGACATTTTCTGAAACTCTGCGACCTGCGCAGGAAGTTCCCGGTACTGTACAAACTGGAGTTCCAAACGGCGGCCAAGGTGGAGAGCAACACCTGTCGGCATGCGTTGAAGAAGAACAACCTGGAGAAGAATCAGAATCCCAAGTGCATTCCCTATGACTACAACCGGGTGGTCCTCGAGAAGGTGGGTGGTCTGCAGGACTCGGACTATGTGAATGCCTCCTATGTGGACAGTCTGCTCAAGCCGAATGCCTATATAGTGACCCAGGGTCCCGTCGAGGAGACGGTCCAGGCCTATTGGCGCATGGTCTGGCAGGAGAACATCAGTGCCATTGTAATGCTGACGAAAACCTTCGACTTCGCCAAGGTCATGTGCCATCAGTACTGGCCACCCAATATGGAGGTTCACGAACAGTACGGTGATATCTTCATAAATATTGTGAGGGAAGAGCAGCTGGCCAACTTCCACATAAGGACCTTCAGGCTCTATAAGATGAACGAGAAGCAGGAGGTCACGGACGAGCGATTGATCCTACAATTTCACTACACCGAATGGTACTCCCACTCGTGTCCCTTCTCCAATGCCCTGCTGGAGTTCCGGAGGAGGGTGCGCCTGGTGGTGGGCAATATCATCAAGGACGAGGATGATATGCGAGGTCCCATCCTGGTGCACTGCAGCGATGGCGGCGGCAGATCGGGCGTCTATATGTCCATAGATGCCAATTTGGAGCTGGCCGAGGAGGAGGAGTGCTTCAATGTCTTTGGC